GGTGGCCGGTCTCCGATACGTACATCTATATCTACGCTTATTATTATTATTAAGCCTACGCCATTAGACAAAGGCCTAGTAGTATTGTTGTACCTAACTTAGGATTAGAGATATCAATCTTTTTTTATCTGTTTACCTGTTACTATCACTTTTGCTTTTTTCTTATAATTTTAAAAGCGCCCCCTATTTTTGGTTTTGCTTTAATGCGCTCTCTAGCCAGGTCGCGTCATCACATGAACGCCACGAAAAATTAACCTCAGAAAGTTGACGAGTTGGAACCAGATATTTTGTCGAAGGTACTGCATTTTGTTCGAGGTAGGCCTAGACCTGTCCTAGGCCTAGTTGTTATGTTTGTAATGGACATTTTGCTTTTGCATATCAATTGCTTCAGCTATTTAGTATATTCCTTATATATTTGGATGCCAGAATTAAACTTGGCCTAGGCTAGGCTAGGGTACACATCATGATGCGAAGACGAGCCGAGTCGAAGTAAATGAGTGGGCACCATGGTGGCCCTGACCTGGATAGAAGGCAGCCTAGGGTAGGCCATATGAGAGGCCTAGTATTATTATAGATGTGCAACAAAATAGGAAGGAGCAGAACACCAACACATGCATTACCTACTTACTTACCATCACATAGCAGTGTTTATTTAATTATTATGTTAAAAATTTACCTTTCCCAGACTGTATTTTTATAGTATTGTTAATTTTTAGTAAGGCGCGGGGAATATATATTAATTATTAATATTATATTTATATGGCCTATCCTCCGCTCAAAAATTTGGCCTAGAAATCCGTCCGCGTATTTGGGAAAATAAGGCCTGATTTCCACACAGATTTAGCAGAAAATTAGGCTTTGACCAAACCTTAACCGATGCAATTATTATGCAGCAGTTACGATAATATGCGTACCTATTTTCCTATCGATTTTCCGCGCAAATTTGGCAGATTTTTAAAATATCCTTCACGCAATTAAAAAACACTACAGTATGGTACCTTTCCAAGATTGTACTCTCAAAATTTCATTAAAAAAAAAAATTAATTTAGTATTTTGTTTTTGTTTCTTTGTAGATCTGTTATTACTATTTTACTATAATGACTGAAGAAGGAACAACGATTGTTATTTATGATGACAGCTTTCCAGCTATTCGTAATGAAACAGTAGTAAGTTATTGGCTCATTCAATTTTTTTTAAAATATTTAACCTTTGCAGCTTATCCCAGGTCAGCTAAGGTGATCTATAAAAGTAAGTTTCATACGAAGTACAAAGCACATCACATTCAACTATTTTACCATTGATGTAGATAAATGATGTTACTTTTATTATCATAGATCCAACTTTCTCCAAACTTTTTTTTGTTTAGTGTATGAAGTATTGAAGATTTGTTTGTAGTGTTCAAAAAGCAAATTTCTGATGTTTTTTATATTTGGGCAAATAAATTCATAAATTGATTTAATTTATTATTCAGTCTTTCTTTATGCAATTTATATTTACAGGAGACAACAGTTGCAACTGCTATACTACAGGGTTTTGGAGATTCTGCAAAGGCTATTCAGTTGGTAAGAACTTAATCAAAGTACAGTGGAAATAGCTCATTGAATTTTAATTCACAAATTGTAGCTTCCCATTCCACCTTTAATTTATCCTATTCATTCACATAATAAATTATTTTGGATAAATTAATATGTGACTAAAATGCAGTTCATCATAAAATTACTGAATAAACTTAGGTTTATTAGGCATGTTCCTATCTGTATCTGTTGTTTTTACACTTTGCATAAAGGTGAAACCAAGTAATAGACATTTGAATACATGTTTATTTTTTGGTTTCACAGGATGGAAATATTGAAACTGTTCAAGAAGATGATGAAGAGCAGAAAAAGGAAAAAAAGAGGATTAAATTTAAACAGAAGTGTTTGTTTTTTGAGGACTGCTCCAAATCATTTGAACAGCAGGCAGACGTCGTAGATCATCTGATTGCAGAACATGGAGTAGAGAGAGACCATCTGCTTTTGGAGGAATTTAACTCTATTGAAGATTTTAAAACTTGGAAAGATCATCTTGAGTTGGATAACTATGTTTATTATACAAGAAGAAATAAGCAAGACAAACGCTTTGTGTATTACTGTTGTAGAGATGGTCAGCCAAATCCAGAGGTAAAAAAAGACGGAGAAATATCTGTAGATCAAGAAACAAAAACAACATTACGTAAAACAAAACTTACCAAAAAATATGGCTTAACATGTCCTTCTAAAATGATTGCCAGAATGCTTGATACAGGTAAAGTGGAACTGTTCTTTTACAAGATCCATAGTCATCCGGTTGCTATGGAGGACACTCGAAATCATCCAGTGCCTCAACTTCTCCGTCAGGAATTATATGCCCAGTTTGCTTTAGACGCCACAGTGGATGAGGTTTATGAAATGTTGCATGGTAAGGAAACCACTGTATATCCTGTTTTCAAAGCTGTTATTCGAGATCTAAACAAACGGAGGCTTCGTAAGATTGCAAAAGATTTCCACGCAGATTGCAACATAAATAAACATTCAGGTATGTGGAATGCGATAAAACATTCAGCTCAAATGGGACGAATGGAAGGTCCAGTAGCCGCAGAAGAAAACAAAAAATCAAAATTGGTTTCTGTTCAGCATAAACTTGAACAGTTATATCATCTATTAGATGAGCCGGTTACGCAAAGCTTACTGTTGGATTATCTGGACTCTACATTGTCAAAACTGTTGAAGGAATGTTCTGCAGCATTTGCAGTGTCTGATTTCAAATTCCCTCTGGAAGATGAGTATCTAAGAAAGTACGACAAACAAAAGCAAGGAGACATAGATAAGCACTGGGAAGAAGCTTTGGAGAGTATGGACACGTTTGAAGGGAGTGAGCATGATGGCAATTCTGGAAGTCTTGATGACAGGTCTAGGGAGTTTGTTGCTCAGGAAGAGAACTTAATGAATCAGGGAGTTAAGCGAGATATTACAGAGAGTGATATGAAACAGCAAATAAAAAGAACTTGCAGGAATGATAGAGAAAACAATCAACCAAGAATTGATCCAAATACAGGAAAGCCTGTAATCAAAGTTAAGCAGAACCGGAAGAAGCTTTTCAACGTTCCACAGCGTCCAAGATTTCCGGGTCTACCAATGAGAACATTGGATGTTATTCGGAGGAACCCAGAAGCAATTCTTTCATTAAACACAGACGCTTCTGATTGTTCTGTCAACAAGGATGCAAATGCTACTTTACCACCAGGGAATGATAATGGGGAGGACAGCTCGTCACACGTACCAAGTGATAATAAAAAAAAAGTATCTGAAGCCAGCACTGGTGTAAAAGAGGTGTCAGATGATGGCAAAAAAATTGAATCATTGCCAGAATGCCATGCGGCAGAAGATGCCCAGCAGAATACAATTGGTCGTGAAGGCATGTCAGGCAGTGTTACTGCAACAGAAGTATTGGAACAGTTACAATCTGATGCAAATCAGGTCCAAGAAGTAATTCAAATGGAGATTGAAAATAGTGATGAGGCATCTGTTCACTCTCAGCTGCTGGAAATTGTTAACCTTGCAAAAGCAATGGTAGAGGGTGATTGCGCAAGCGATCAAGTTATCATTGTGAATGAAAATTCTGACATTCTGTCGGATGTTATTGAAGTTAGTGAAGAAAAAGATGTGACCGAAAAGCAATAAAAAATAAATTGTACCTTCACTTGGTGTCACTTCTCCTTCATAGCCCATTTCACAGGTGTGCAGACCCTAAATTCCTCATACTTGTATATCAGAGGAATTAGTAAATGAAAGTTTTGATTGGTGTTACTACACATTATCGAGTCTAGAATTAAGGAGGTTGTTGAAATTTCTGCTAATTCCTGAATGCCAGCCTTTAAGAATTTTAAAGAGGAATACTAGAACATTATCCTGTATGAACGTTATTCAAATTTAAGCTTTCCTTGAAGCTTAAGAAAACCCTTATTAACAATCAACTGCTGTATTTTATGCTTACATAATGAATGTATATTTTCTTTAATTGAGCACAAACCAATTAGTCATGGGTTTTAGATAAAATATTCCAGTTTTAAGCTACGTTCAAATCAAGCCCGGACCCGGTCTGAAGCCCAGACAAAAAATTGTAAGTTACTAAGTTTTTTTGAATGCTGCGTTCACATTGTGCACACAAAACGGTTGTTTGCGTTAAGTATGTATGCGTCTGATTGGTTTGAACCAACCAACCAAGCTTGTTGCTGATCAGTCCAAGAAAAAAAAAACGTACAAGATTAGGATACAAATGGCTCTCAGATCCATCGGTCCAGATCCGGAGTTCGTATTGAAAATCGTATGAATTTGATGTGAACGGTCCTATTCTTTACCACTGAACCCATTTTTCACGATTTTTTTGTCCGGACTTGATGTGAACATAGCTATATGTAGTACATGTCATGCCAAGGCACTGTACTCCAGTCACTGGATAGACCCCCTGTGCAACTCAGCTTCCTGGGGAGTGCTGTATAATGCTGTGGCTAGTGAGCACCTGGTACTTATGGGTTGGAGCGATTATGCTATACAGTTAAACTTGCCTAATTCCAATAATTTCTAAGTATCTTTTTTTCTCTTTTGTGGGGTCGTCCCACTTTTATTCATAAGTTCAGCATTCACAGTATAATTTGTAAAGAGTTGTTCAATATGGCTTCTTAAATTTCTAAGTATCTTATTTTACATAAATTAACAATCTGTATGTGGAATTCTATTTAAGTCAAACAATTTTTCAATGGAATTTTTGATTCGACTAAGGCAAGTTCAATCTATTTTAAAATTAATAACACAAATACACTTCAATATGTTTAAAATTGTTATCTTTTATTCATACAAATAAAACATTTCAGGTTAACATGCATGTACAGTAAAGTTAAGTTGTGCTACTTTTTTTCTGACCCTGTAATAGATTATATTTTTTAATACTGTAAATTAAATCTGCTTCATTTGTGTTACATGAAATCTTTAAAAGATATTCTTGAAAACAGCAGATATTTATAGTTGACTGAGTATGCAATTCTCCTATACATCTTATTGCTTGAATTTTGAAAATAAAAAACTTAATTGTTTCCAGAATTCTTGTCTGACGTGAATCATTATAAAAACATCTGTTTATTATGTTGCTCCTTGTTGTCTACTTTGTAACAATAAACTGAAGTCAGGTACACACTGCAGTTTTGATTATCAGTTAATGCACTCCCATGGACAACACACTACAAAGAAGCATTCACATTTAACTGATCCACTATGTCATTCACCGGCAGAAGGCATCGCGCGTCAGTCGCTCAATAGATAAATTGACTGTGGTGATGCTGTGTGTGTCTGGCTTAAAACAAAATTATGTAGACACGGGAAGTGACTCTCTGTATTCCTGCAATCTTCCTAACCATTGAGTCCAGTATTGGTTTGTTAAATTTCTGTTTAAGAAATGTACATCTGCTTGGTCACCATCTTTATATGCAATGACAATTGCAACATTAGTTATCTGTAAAGAAGAATAATGCAATTGTAGAAGCATCAAATTTCTGTTCAGATACATGTGCCCTCAGACATTATACCGTTACTGCTTAAACCTTACCTGATTTTGAGTACCTTCAGAAAAGTTGATTGCCCCTGCATAGGCTGCTGTCTGTAGGGGGTAGTCGTAGATCTGATTTAGGGTGCGTTTCTTTTTCCGCGATGTTTTCCAATCAATTACACAAAGATGATTTCTATTGGTGTCAAGAAGACCATTCAATTAACTCTAGTACTGTATGTGATATCAGTTAAGAAATAAATTTTGATAAAGGTAGCATAGGTCACATAGCAAATTATACTGTATTGTACACCAATCCCACAGTATTCTATTTCTGAAGGAAGTTGGGTAATACAATTCCCCATTTACCTCAAGACAGCAACACAGTCAACTATCCCATGGTAGTTGAGGTATGGATGTTGGACTGATGCCTCAAAGAACTTTAGGTCAGTGACATCTGGGAAGACATGTTTGATACTTGTCCAGTATCCCCTCAAGTCATCTGGAATGGCATCAGGTTGTTTGCCAGAGCTAATGTAATCCTGCACATAGTGGTGGAAGTCATGGCCAGTTTTGAACATTTCTAAAATCAAAGCAATATAACAAACAATATTTAAGCTTATGATATAAGAATTATGAGAACAAAATAAGAGAAAAGCCAGTGCAGTGGAGTTCATGCATGAAAAAATGGGGTTGGATTGGTCATAGGTTACATAAATCTAGCAACATGGAATCCCCAAGGAAAAGGACAAAACAAAAAAAAAACGCATTGAAAAGAAAAGTGAATGTGTGCTGGGTAGAGATTGCCAAAGTTAGAAATTGCCCAGAACCATGTAGGCTGGAAACTTGTAGTTAATAGCATATATTACTGCTAGGTAGCAAAGCTTGTTTATACAATATCATGAATTCTAATTTCTACAGAAATACGCAGAAAATAAGATATGAAAGTAAAGTAAAATTTACCTTGTTTGTATGTCTGGAAGCCTTGGAGTCCCAATTCTTGAATCATTTTGTTCTCCCATCTTTTAAGAATTGCTATCCTTTCCACTGGCATAGTCTCACTGAGAATCCTTGAAACACTAGCTGAGGCTGAATCTTTATAAAATAAAACATATCCATGAAATGGTGGTGTATAACTTTAAAAGTTTGCCTTATTTGAGAAAGTAATTTCTCATTAAGTTTTCTTAAAGTTATTTACAGGGGTACCAAGTCTCCAAAAAATCAGAAAGGCCTCCCGCAACAAAATAAGCTATCTTCTGCAAAGTCTTCTGATAATTACATATTTTTCATAGTGTATTATTAATGGACTCCCAGAAGTCAGTCCTGATGGGCATCACTATGTACAGGAAAATAAAAACGAGATCTCCTGGACATTTTTTTTTTGCAAAGACTGAACCTAGGACCTTGGGATTGGAAGACAAGCACATTAACCACTAAACCACATGTAGTCATTTATCTACCAGTTACTGTACCTGATTTCACACACTTTGCAAGGTCTTGGTTTATACACCTCTCTAAAGGAAAGAATAATGCTTTCCCATTTTTACTTATCGTTAATCCATCTACATGAGTATCCTCATCTTTGCTGCCATTATGAAAATGTGGATTATACTCAAATTTAAATTCGTCCTTCAAATCTGATGTCAATGTTGTTATTCTTCTAGTTTTTCTTTGAGTTTTCGTTGCACTGATTCTTGAACTTGAGGAGTATCTGAACTGTATGTTATGTTTAAAGCACAGCTGAATAAGCGGTAGGCCTAATATGCGATAATCTTCAAAGCATTTTGAAAACTTCAAAAGGGATGTTGGTAGAGTTGAGCACCTCATTATATCATCTTCTTCAGCATTTACAATATGATGGGTTACACTACCTTTGGTTGCCAAAATAGGCCTGCAAAGAAAGACATGAATACATTTAATTTTGTATATTATTTAACACCTAATTGGTTGAAGAGACAGAAACAACTAGATAGGGGTGCAAACCCCATTCATGGATGAGTGTATAGCCTAAGTTTGGGCTGCCACAAGGCCGCTTACAGAGACAGAGCAGGGTGGTATTTTATAGCACAGGTCTATAAAAAGGTTCCGCGGGAAAGAACCAATGCTAGTATAAAGAAAACAAGTTTGGTTTGGCAGTCAGTCTATCCTAATTATCATACTCAACACTGTCTAGGCCTAATCATCTTTGCCTTGAATATATCTTTGGAAGAATCAAATTTTACTTCATCCAATATTATCAAAATTAGCACCATTATGACAGTCTACCTCTCTCTACTGAACGTCCTGTGCACCACGTGTGTCGACCCCTGGCGCGTGTGTCGGACAAAATCACTGCACCGGTTAATTTGACCTCGATTGTAAACATTGCATTTGCCAGATAGTGTAAAATGTTTATCGGGAATAAATTAAGTTTTTCCTTATCACATGTTGTGCTATAATTAAAGTAAATGGCATGTAAAGGTATTAAAGTATATGAGTAAATTTATTGTAAATATCTTTTATAATTTATTTCCAGTTCATCCTTGCCGTTCTCTGATCAGACAATCGAGGCAGTATCGGGCATCGGGCAACCCGCTGTCACGTGACTGTTGAGTACTTGTCGGAACAACAATTGGAAGTTCTAGGCTAGGCATAATGATGGTAAATTGATTGATAATTTAAGTGATAAATATTGAAATAGGTTTTAGGATTTAGTAAGAGTCAGGTATAATGTGTGTGTATTTATTTTTAGGATGGACTAGAAGAAAGCCCAAACTTGCTGGCTGAGGATCAAGCGAAGGTGAGAAATTATTCAGAGCTAGCCTAGGCTTAGCCTCAATTTCGGTCGATCGTGTCCTAGGAAAATTGCCCCACCAACGCCCGTGCATAAAATTTGGACGTAACCCAACATGGGCATCCGCCCCTTTTTTTAATACTTCTGCTACAAACAAACGGCCACATCAAGAACATTCAGCTGCTAAATTGTAATTGTTTACATAGAAAGGCCTACTTTAAGTATGCAGATACATAAAATAATGTCATAATATGAAGTATCTAGCCCAGCTATCTGCTGTAGGCCTAGGCTCCAACCTAGGCAACCAAATATCAGTGTGGATGCCCAGCCTAAACCCAGATGTTTTTTGCAGGTCCTTCTTTCCTGGCCCTGTTTTTCAGAATCTGCCTAGCAGGCGCTAATGAACCTTCGCACCTAACTTTTAATTCTTAATATTTTTACCTCAATGTTCTTCTCACAGTCACAACATATAATTAACAAACACGTTCATCTGATTTAACCACTCACAAAGTACCTTATTCAACAAATAAGCCCACAAATAAGTACAGCGAATCTGTGTTTGCTAGCACGACGAGTGGCTGCTATTTTGCAATCAGTAAAAAATTGCCAGAACATTTAATTCTTAATATTTTTACCACAATGTTTTTCTCACAGTCACAACATATAATTACCAAACATATTCACATGATTTAACCACTCACAAATTACCTTTTTCAACAAATAAGCCCACAAATAAGTACAGCGAATCTGTGTTTGCTAGCACGACGAGTGGCTGCTATTTTGCAATCAGTAAAAAATTGCCAGAACATTTAATTCTTAATATTTTTACCTCAATGTTTTTCTCACAGTCACAACATATAATTACCAAACATATTCACATGATTTAACCACTCACAAATTACCTTTTTCAACAAATAAGCCCACAAATAAGTACAGCGAATCTGTGTTCGCTAGCACGACGAGTGGCTGCTATTTTGCAATCAGTAAAAAATTGCCATAACATTTATTCTTAATATTTTTACCTCAATGTTTTTCTCAGTCACAACATATAATTACCAAACATATTCACATGATTTAACCACTCACAAATTACCTTTTTCAACAAATAAGCCCACAAATAAGTACAGCGAATCTCTGTTCGCCTGCACGAGCGGCTGCCATTTTGCAATCAGTAAGAAATTGCCAGAATGTCTGAGTTTGCAGCGTGAAGTTTTTTTATTAAACGTTTATGAAAACTTATCTATTTGCGTTTGTATATCATTCTTTATATTGTATGGTATTATTGTTTGACTATCTGTGTTCACTTGAAATTCACACGCACAATAATTACTTCAAAAATTAGTAATTGATCCAAATGCGTACACAGATAGAAAAAGATATTTATATATATATATTATATATATATAAATTTGAAGTTTTTTGAGGCAATTATAAAACTTATATAGGTGCCTAAGCCTAAATCCAGAAAAACATATCAAAGCCAATGATAAACATCGGTTCGATTAACCTCGATTACGACAAAGTTCGAAAAGATGGTACTGCATGATACCAGATTTTGTTGTCGAATGTTTCATGGGAAAATTCCAATTAAAATTATAAGACTGGCCTTTAATGGTTTTAAAATTTAAGAATTGACTCGGACATTCTGGCAGTTTCTTACTTAATTGCTAAAAAGTACAGCTCGCCGTGCTAGCAAATGCAGAAACCCTGTATCAACCTATATTTATAAAGGTATCTTTTTGTTGAAAAATGTACTTTATGAGTGGTTGAATCATGTAAAAATGATTTATAATTATGTGTTGTGACTGTCAGAAGAAAATTAAGGTAAAAAAATTAAGAATTAAAAATTAGGTGCGAAAGAGCATTAGCGCCTGCCTAGCATACCTGGTCTGGTTATTGTTATGTAGGCCTAGCTTTTAGTTGATAAATTTTTAAATAGCTATATACAGTACTTACATATACATGAGGAATGCCTGAAATCAAAATCTTTGAAGGCTGATTTCTCATATATTGTTCTTTAAACAGCTGTGTGGTTATACGCTTGTAACTTCATAAAGAAATGTCCGTTTGAATGATTTTTTTACCATTTTATAGCTATTATATTACTCTCTAACACTGTATTAATAACTCAAAATCGATTTTTGCGACGAGTGTTGTCTTTGCCACAAATAAAATTTGGAATCCTCAGATTTTGGAATTGAATGTACAGTACGTCTTCATTACAACAGCCCTCACATTCAAAGCCAATTAGTGTGTACTGTAGCTAATGACAGTGCAGTCATATTTATTATAAAACAATCGTCAAAGCGTTGAAAAGTTTTTATATTTGGTTGTTTATAGCCAAGTCGCTCAGACACCGTAGACCTGAGTGCTGATACGTCTCTACTTGTTGACATTTCTGATGCATTAAGTGAGAGGGATAAAGTAAAATTCACAGTTCACACGAAGGTAAGCCCTCTAAATTCATTTTTATTTCAATTTTGTTAGATTTATATATTCATCATACTTGTCTTAACCTTATGAATTTGTTTCACCACTAAAGCTTTGCAAATTTTGTATCAAATGCAATGCTGACCTTTATTTTGCATGGCAATTTTAGGCTTGGATTTTCATTGTACAATTTTAATTTTAGTTTTTTTTTAATTCTCCAGGTAAGTATACTAATTTGTCTGGATAGCAATATTATCAATGCCAATAAATTATTTCATTATAATATCGCTAGACCCTAAATTTGAATAATAACAATAATACTAATTAAATGTTTGTGAAGATGCACCAATTCAATACAGAAGCTGGTTTTAAATCTTATCTGTTGTTCATTAATTGGATTTTCAGAATTTGGCACAATTAATTAGTTGAATTATTCATTGCATGAACCAGTAAATCAATTAATCGATTGATTTAATCAATGACAATTACATTGGTGGAGGAATTAATAAAATAATTGAGTCAAAGTGCTTCCAACCATTTGGAGAAATAATTATCAAGCTTCTTTCTGGAAATTGACAACCTCTTACTGACAAATTGTAATACAAAGTGGTCCATTTGAGACAAAAAAACCATTCTGCAAATGCCATTTTTAACCCTGTGAATACAATTTCAAATATATTGCCTTTTAGTGGTCTTATTATATTATATTGTTATATGTATCCATTATCTTATTCTGTAGGCCTTACTGGATTGTACTTTTTAACTAATTTATTCAAGTGTCACCCTTCTAAAAATGGCCAGCCAGAACTGGCTTATGGGAGACTAATTTAATGAATAAGCTATCGGTCTACTCCCTCGTTCCGCAATCTTTTTAGCCCACGATCCAAATTATATGTCAAGCACTCTGATGCGACCCATTGAACCCAAAGTCGATAAAAACATCCGTCATTTTATACGTGCGAGGGATAGCGGGAAGAGCCATCCACATAATTCTTTTGTGAATTGATTAAAAGATATTATCACCCACAAAATCACTATGTAAAACCCATAATAATGAAAATATAACTTTGAATTACTCATTTACCAAAATATTTTTTTCAATAAGTTGAAGACTTCCAAAAATTAATGATTAACAGACACTTTATTATAAATTCCTAGTGCTGCCAGAAGTTTATGGGTTATGCGAAGACATACAGTAGACAAATTGAATTTAGAAATGTTTTCTCATTATAATTTGCAGCTGAAAGTTTGTTCATTAAAATGAACAAAACTAATATTTTAAAGTTGTACAAAGTACAAATGTTTTGATAGTAATTTTTTAACATGAAACTGTGATAAAGCGTAACAAAAGTAAACTGATGCATTTTTCACACTTAAATTGCACTTTCGTGTACTGTAATTTAATTTTGTTTGTCTTCATTCATGTTAAGTAAAGTTTTCATGATCTGAAGAGATTATGCAACCCATCAATTTTTTTTTTGCGACCCATACATTGGGTCGCGACCCTTAGGTTTACGGAACGGTAATGTAAATAGCTAAAATAAAACTAAAATTTGTGGATTAAGAATCTAAACAATGCGCTGTATTGTACTTGCAAAGTATGATGTGCAATCCATTGTATCTTTTAAGACAATTATTGCTGCAAAGCAGCCAATTCGTATTCTTGACAGCAATTTGACCTCTGAAAGGTCATTGTTTGTCAAAAAACAAGGGCCTTAAAGACGACTGAAACGCGGAGTTTCCTTCTTTCGTTCTGCCGGGAAAAATCAATTACTTTAGGCGACATTTGTAGACTAACCTACTCGTACCAACATCCGCATGTCGCGCTAGCCTTATCCTACTCTAGGCCTAGACTAGCTGGTATAGGCCTAGCCTTGAAGGGACGAAGGTCCCAATGAAAAACAATGTCGCTCTTTGATAGCTAACATTGTCTATTTAACATCACAATAATTCATTATTAGACCTATAGTTGTTTTTTGAATTGTACTCCACAAATCTCAGCCGATACCTCACACAACTCGTTAACGTCTCGTATCTATTGTCGTGACGTCATGGCTCGCTGGCTCACACTTGTGATGTCTCACACTTGTGTTCAAATAACACGCTGGCTCGCACTTTGGCAACACTCTTTGGCAGTCAACTCGCCCCTAGAAAACCCGCCCTTGGAAACTTGCCCCATAAAAAAATGTACACTTCCTAGACCATGCAGTCTTCAAAATAATAATTGTAACCTTTGGTAATCAACTACATTTTCCACATACATAGAAATTTTTAAAACTTAAAAAAAACCTAAACCATAATTCACCACTATAGACACTTTTTGACAAAAATGAAAAATTACGACTTTTTTACCCAATGAGAAGTGTTCTAATATAGACAATGGGTCGTGTCTCATATTATTTGTTGTATTTTTATTTTTCATTATTTTCACTTGACTTCATAAATAATTTTGTTCGAAGAACATTTATATGCAGTTGTACTTCGCAGCACTTCACTTGCAATTTGCAATTTCTAGTTTACTTCTTTAAATTTTGTTTGACATTGTTTTGAAACAGAATTAATGATATGCATAGCCATTTTGCTATCCCTGCAGTGACTTCATTTCAAATCTGTTTCTGTATTTTTCGTAGGTGGTACCCACATCAAATAGTTTAGAAATTCTTGTAAGTTTATTACAAAGATATTGTAAATTTGGCCTTATATATTGTGATTGTATATCTGTGCCATTTATTACCCACTACCCAGTGGCCTATCTAACTGTGTAAAGGGGAGCCTGGCGTCGAAGAGGGAAGAGTGCAAGTCCTCAGAAAAGAGGTCTCTTAGGCCCCCTCTAATAGAAAGATGCTGAGCAAAAACATTAAAATATAGAATCATGTTCTCCCTCTCACTTGGAGTAATGTTCTTTCTATGTTACATACATTAAACACACTCAGTAGTTAAAAGAGCACGTCAATCTCCCATCTATTGTGGTAGCACCACCATTACTTTTCTATCGTGCTCCATCACCCCCCCTTCCCCCCTTCACTGTAGATATGCCACTGTAAACAACCAGTTATTGATGCTACAGTATTATATAAAAAATCCTGCAATATATTTATTTTAGCCTTTTTTTGTGCACAAGTTCAGTATGTTAATGAGGTTTTGTGCTATACAGTAAGTGTGCTGTCTCTAGTGTGATATGCATGTGTTAATAGACATCAATATACATAGGATAAAATCACATGTTTCTCTGTTTGGTTTACCTAATGGACCTTTCACAGAAACAATGATAGAGAAGGAACATAGGCCTATTAATTATTCTTAAACTACCAATACCAAAATGTGTTTTATTTCCTACTTTGAAGTAGAGTGTACAGGTAGTATAGTTTTATGATTGTACAGTTTGTTTCCAAGTTTTTGAGTTCAATCCTGGCTTAAAATTCAGGATAAAAATCATCCATAAAAAAAGTTAATTTACAACATGGCCAGATATGTTTTGTGACATCACCATATTTTTTGTTCCATTTGTTCCATAAAGCTAAGCTAAAAGTAATTTACATTGCTTATTATTTGGTTATTTTTTAATATGTAAAATTACTATATATGAAGAAAAGGACAATATATAATAAAGAATGATTAAATAATTAATTAGGAATAAGTAAGTTAGTTTGTAGTTAGAAATGGGATTGAGAAGGAAATACTTATAATTTATTAACCTACATTTTTATTAGTACAATTGTAATAGTTTATAGCATTGAAACTTATGTGGCATGTTTGTGTGTGTACAAATACTATATATAATGCTTACATTATTACTGATTAATAATATTTGCTTCAGTAAATGTACAGTAATTTTGTATTGTATTATAATTTCTTTAGATTTCAGCATTTGCCCATGTTATTTGAATTATATTTATTGTATTTATTATATATTTTCATTTTTTGGTATTTTTCTGGTGTACAACTCGAGCATTTTGCAGGTTCATTCAATAAACTTGAATTAGAGAGTAATTATATTCATGTGTTGATTTAGTATGAATTCTGTAATCCTACCACTCATATTGAAAGTGTAAACATGCCATTCTTGATTCTGATTGGCCGTGAGATAACATAAATATTTCACAGTCTGTACAGTATTAATGATCGAGACACAGACGATTATAAATATCAAACCTTGCATTGTACAGTAGCATTTATGTAGCACTATAAAAATCAGAGTACATTTTATTTGTGTTTTCATTAATAAACCGTAAATGAAATATTGCTTGGAGGAAAAAAACTCAGAATCGAGAAAAAAATAAAAACAATGCATAAGAAAGGACACCTGTAAAATTAACTGAAAGGCATGAATCAAAGTCTAAGACATGTTTGCTCATTTATTATAAATTTATGAATAGAAAAGTTGATAAATAAGTCATCTCATATCATCAAGACAAGTTAATTAAGTTTTGTCAGGATGCATTGTCCTAAAAAAATAATGAGAAAGAAATATGTTTTAGATTCATTGTTAAAATTTCTGGATTTTCTCCTAAATTATATGATAAAAATAAATGAATACTTAAATGATGGAGAATAAATCCCATTAATATTAGAGAAGTATTTTATAGCTATAATTTAATAATAATAATTATTACAGTATGTACATCTTTCCTAGAGAAACCATTTTCTACAAACTATAATTTTCTTTCCATTCATCCATAAAATGAGAAATTAAATCCCTATACCTGTAAAAACCATTATTGAATATACTGTAATGAATTATAATATTAAAACAGATGTTGGAGTTAAAAATAAATGGCTGGATGTTTACCAAATATACTGTATTTCCAAATCAAATTTAAAAAGTGTAACTCTTTTGTGTTGGAACATTGAATATACAGCTGAACCTCCAGGGTATGCAGAGTGGGGACTTAGAATTGTGTTATTATACTATTCATAGTTTATGCATGTTGTCTTGATAATCAGATTCAGGTTTGAATTCAGTTTCATATTCAGATTCAGATTCCTATTTGATTTGTCATAAAGCTAACTATATGAAATGAACCTTATAAATACTGTACAACAATACTAATTAATAGTTATGATTTAAAATATTCCTTCATATTTGATTTATTTTCTTAAAGAAGGATATACTGTACAGAATTCTGGAAAAGGTTCATGAAAATCAAAACAATTATAAAATTAAAGTGATACTAATCAATAATCGCTATTTGATTTAAGATTCATATTAATATTTAACTTATTGTCATAAATACAGTAATACAAAATTAAAAACTAAAAACAGTTGCTATACAATTAAGGTGATACTAATTATAGTCACCATTTGATTTAAGATTCATATTCATATTTGATTTACTGTCATATAAAAGGCTATATGAAATAGTGTATAAAAATTAAAATTTTGGAAAAATACATAAAACTAAAAATACACAATACTACTACTATTAAAGTGATACAGTACCTTCAGTTAATCAGTACTCTCTATTTGGTGTCATATTTTTAATTTCTTTCTCATACACATACAAATATTAGGTATAAATGTAAAATATGAACAGGTATGGCTTCATCATAATGTACGTGTACCTTAAAAATATATACCAATGTTAATGTGCCATCAGTTGGTGTTATTAAACTAACATACTGTAAACATGAACATGTGTGAATTGAATGCGTTAATTGTACTTCTACTATTAATTTTGTTATTGACATTCTGTTGTTTTCTTTTTTCATTGACATTTATAGACAACATTGCCAGATTTCAGCAAGAGTGAGTTTTCTGTTGTCAGGGAACATGAGGAGTTTGTTTGGCTCCATCACATGTTTGAGGAGAATGAAGATTATGCAGGCGTTATCGTGAGTACCGACAGCCTCCATTACGTAAAGTTCTCTCGGGGTGGCATTGCTACTCCAACATGATTCCTTATTTTAGGACTAGGCAGAAGCAGTTGTTGTTATTGTTTTTCTTTACCCTTGAGCCCCTAATCACCATTGGCTTTACAGTAAGCCCTTTTATAGGTGAACTTTATAGAATAATGTTAGTAGTCAAACATATTCATGTTTTTGTTAATGTATATTTTTCCGTTAACAACAATCTAATGTCCGCTGATGACAGCCATTTACAGGATATTATAGCTGAGGATGTTGCCATTTCATTATCAAGCAGGATTAATATGCCTTGCTCTTTATGGCATGTACAGTACTTGTTCGACTACCTTGTTATAAACTTGTTGAACAGAAGAAAAACTTAGTTTTTCCTAACAGTTTATATATTTACCTATCTCAATCTGATTCTTTATTGAAATTCAGCTGTATTGGTTGTTACGATTTAATGCCAAGGTATTTTAAATTAGTAGTATACTTGCGAATCTTTTTAATTCTAAACATAATCTCACCATTATTATACCATTGTCACCAACCCTTCCAAATCCAGTGTATTTGTAATTTAGCTATTAACTGTCTAATGGGAAAATCATGTACAGTATTTGAACCTTGACACACTCAATGCTCTGTTATTTAGTTGTTCGTTATCAATGAATATTGAGTAGGCACCTGTATCTCATGGGTGAACCGTCACTGTAGTTAACCTTACACCATTATGTACATCCTGTTTTACAAATGAGGAAGTTTGGACCGTTACAGGAAAAATCTAGTTCCTGAATTGCATTGATTTAGAATGGTCCTTATGTCCTCCTCTATCGGGAAAATTCTAAAGTTTCATACATAATCTGCAACTGCATGGGGGATTATAAGCCTATATCCAGCCATGTATTAATCTTAAACCTAAATCAAATACATTTAACGTCTCCTGGATGAAAAAAACAAAACAAATGTGTATACTGTATTAAATTCCTTTGCCTATTAGGAACTTTTCTAATCGCCAGATTTCTCTGTTATTTACTTGTTCGTTATCAATGAATATTGAGTAGGCACCTGTAGCTCATGGGTCAACCGTCACTGTAGTTAACCTTACACCATTATACTTCATTTGTACATCCTGTTTTACAAATGAGGAAGTTTGGATCGTTACAGGAAAAATCTAGTTCCAGTTGCATTGATTTAGAATGGTCCTTATGTCCTCTATCAGGAAAATGCTAAAGTTACATACATAATCTGCAACTCCATGGGGGATTATAAGTCTATATATTCAGCCATGTATTAATCTTCAACCTAAATCAAATACATTTAACGTAGAACATTCACATTTTCCCAAATACCATTTTTTTCTCCTGGATGAAAAAAAAACAAAACAAATGTGTATACTGTATTAAATTCCTTTGCCTAATGAACTTTTCTAATCGCCAGATTATAGGACACTTAATTTTCATAAATATATGGAAAAAAAAGATTTGTACATTTAAAATCATTTTACTAATTATAGTAAACAGTTAATTATGCTGTACAATTATTTGTCTTGATGCCATAACTACAAAGCTACACTATAATTGTAATCCCTTGACATTGTCGTAGATTCCACCAGCACCACCTAGGCCAGATTTTGACGCATCCAGGGAAAAGCTTCAGAAACTGGGAGAAGGCGAGGGAACTATGACCAAGGAGGAATTCTCAAAAATGAAACAGGAGTTGGAAGCGTAAGGATTTACTGATTTTAAACTTTCTCATTCAAAATTAAGTAATTACAAGATAGAAATAAAATATTTACTCTGGTGCTCTGTATGTCTCATTTTAATATAACAAATTAACAAATAATTTTTTCTGTTTTTTAAAGGGAATACTTAGCCACTTTCAAGAAAACAGTAGCAATGCATGAGGTGTTTCTACAGCGTCTTGCTGCCCACCCAACATTAAGAAGCGATCAGAACTTCAAGGTGTTTTTGGAGTATGATCAAGATGTAAGTACCGCATTGAATCTTGGACTATTCATCACACATAGTGAATTACGTAATAGACCATTTGTCATACAGTGAACCACAGGGTAAATATGGCCCATTCATGATGGTGACTCATATATACCATACATGGACCATCTGTGACCCATTGTAATCATAGACCATCCATGGACTGTTTATTACACATGGTGAATCAAATCATTGACTATTTATACTGTGCTATTGAATATGAATACATTTTTTTATTTTATTTGCTAGTTAAATGTACGAGGAAGGAATAAAAAGGAGCGATTCGATAGTCTGTACAAGTCACTAACAAAATCAGTTAGTGAGGTTTTTCTTTCTGGACAAAAGGTAAGTGTTAATATAATCAACTTCAGTATTTCATTAACCTTTTTAATTTATCTTGATATTTAAATTGGTTCACATCATTTGTGGTCTGCCTTTAATTAATTATTTAAAGCATTAATGTCAACAGGCTCTATTCAGGAACAATGTACTTTGGTTTGTTCAGTGTATTTATAGTATTTTTTGTACAGTTACAACTAAATCATGATATTGTTTCCATACCTAGATTTATAATCAGGTTTTTTGTTTTTCCTGCTTTATTTTCCCCTGTCTTTCTCTCAGTGATAAAATAATCTTATCTTCAGTTTACTTCCACTTATTCCTACTCATTTAGAGAGAAAAAGCTATGGTCGTTTGCCTTATTTAAGTTCTTGGTAGTTATTGCTTGTCTTCTCCCTCAGAGAAGAAGACAGGGATAGAATCTCTTGCCTCCCTCCCTCTCCTGTTTCTTCCATCTGCCAGTTTCTTCTACTATTTCTACATCTAATGCCTCTGAGTAGCAGAATAAAAGAGTATCTTGCATTTAAATTAAATTTGCATATTAACGTAATCATTCTTTTTTTTTTCCAGGATGTTGATTGTTTCTTTGAACACGAAAAGAGTTTTCTAGTAGAGTACCACAACCGAGTAAAGGATTCCACCACTAAATCAGATAGAATGACACGTTGTCATAAAAGTAAGTCTATGTTTACTTACATTTACTTATACCATAGTTTCCCGAGTATAAGCCCAACCCTCTACTTTACATCCTACTTAATGTACCAGTGTTTCTTCGGGCATAAGCCCAGGGCATGATTAGAACTAAATTTTGTATTTATGTTCAGACCTGGAAAAAAAATTTTGTGCCTCTGACCATGGAAATTGTCTCGATAAAATGCCTTCAGCACCAAATGCTATCTGTACACTATATAACCCAACAGTTTATTTTTTTGAATTTTTTTCCCCAAAAATGCCTTCGGGACATTCATGATGCCTTCGACTGCTGGTTTTGCGGTCCTGTTTATATTTCTTTTATGTAATGTGCAATTGTTTTCTAGATGTGGCTGATAATTACATTCAGATATCTGGAGGCCTCACTGGACTGGCTACAATTGAAAGAACAGACTTAGACAAGTAAGTGTTGATTTTATTAGTTGGCTTATTTCTGCATCCACTGCTCTCTTAAATTTAAAGTATAAATCAATGAAAGTAAAAAAATGCAATGCCAAATATCATTGAATAAATTCATTTTAATGGTAACTATGATGGTATCTTGCTTCTCTTGGCTACTTGGCACTGCAAAAAAAATGTTTGCATTGTTATTATTTTTTAAGAAATAATTGGTCAGCAAAAACTAATTTTGAAACATTACATATAGTTGGTTAAACTTACCTAATGTAAACTTTGCCTAACTCAAATAATTTATAAGCAGATCTTATTTTACATGCAAAATTGTTGTTTTCCATTAATTAATGATCTGTAAGTCAAAATTTTATCTAAGTCAAACAATTTTTCACTGCCATTTTGGATTCAACTTCGGCAAGTTCAACTGTATTAGGGAACCCAAATCTGCGTAAATTATCAAAGAATTTAGCTGTGGATGAAATTTCTGGATGATCAGTAAAGCACTCGTTGAAACGCCCTTTAAAAATGTTCATATTTGTTGTTCCAAACTTATTACAGACTGAAGTGTAAATGTTGGCAATATCTTGTTATCCCCTTGTTTTGCTCTCTTCAGGTTTTTCAACAAGATAGCTGATACTTTTGAAAAACTTAGGGTAAGTTGGAGTTATTTTGTATTGATCATTTTTTTAACATAATTATTAGACAAACTTACATACTACAAAATATTAAACATTTTAAATTGCTGAAAATAAAGAATAAAGTCTGAAATAAGTTACTCTATCACTGTAGCATTCATTAGAATAATTTTTCTTTATCCACTTTACAAATACATAAAATAACAGTTTTATCTGCTGATGTTTGGTGGCAGTCTGTGCAGATCCTCATTAAAAACAATCCATTACAGGCGCCTCATCCCACGGTGTTCTCTATGGAATAGTGTTGATGTGCGCAGCTTAAATTTAATTAATTTAATTTTTTAGGGTTTCAAGATTTTACCAAATACTTTCTTAAATGCATTTTTTGCTATTCTTATAAATTTTAGAAACTAGAAGCAAGAGTTTCATCTGATGAGGATCTCAAACTTTCTGATCTTCTTCGGTATTATATGAGAGATTCAGCAGCAGCAAAGGTAACAACTGATTAACCTGTCTTTTAGTTAAGCTGTTTCTGTTATCTTTAATTATTATCACTATTATTAGTTAATAACTTATCCACACTAGATAAATTGTTAACTTGACATCTGCTGGGAAAAATTAAGCCAGCATTCCCTGATACATGTTAAGGTTTGTTTGTGTAAGATTAGCACATGTCCTGTGTAATATCTATGATAAAAAATCAAACATTTTAGAGGCATGTAACATTCCAACTATCTCCACATTTTAAAAAAATCTCTTAACGACATTTAGAATTCAATGATTTTTACTGTTCACCCTTAATACTATTGTTATTTTTGTTATGATCACTATATTTTGATTATTATCCTTATTACTGTGATCATTATTATGAATATGAATATTATTATTATTGCTATTATTATTATTACTGGATTACAGTGTTATTGTTGTTTTTATTGCTATGTTTTGGTAGTTGACACTTGCACAGGGAATATCTCCCTTTGTTATCTACCATCTCGTGTGAGGAAAATAAAATCATGAATTATGAATTATAATGTGTCTGTGCACATGGTTATAGGAATTGACACTGTGGTATCTTATTTTCATAATCTGCATATCAGTTGTACAAACTTTTTTTTAGCAAGGTTGTAATCACTAATGGATGTGGAATACATGATTATGAAATTGTGATAAAGTATGTTAAATTTTAAAATTCAACATCTTTTCCAGTCTCTGCTTCTTCGCCGCTCTCGTTCTCTTGCAAACTATGAAACCGCTAACAAAAATTTGGAGAAAGCTCGCCAGAAAAACAAAGATCTTGCACAATCTCAGACAGCGCAACAAAAGGCCTGTGAAAAATTTGAGAAAATCTCGGAGATAGCCAAGGGTGAACTGACTGACTTTAAGGCACGCAGAGTAGAGGCCTACAGAAAATACTTGGTAGAATTAGCTGAGCTGGAACTTAAACATGCAAAAGTAAGTCACTGATTGTAGAAAGTGTATTTCACTCTGGTTTGATTTGTCTTTCTTGTTTTGAACAGGGTTAAAACTAGTTTTCATTATGGCCATCTAAAATAAGATCATCTCAAGTATAACCATTAGAATTAGGACCATCATTAGTAAGACCAGCTCAATGAAGACCACCTCAACTTAGACCATTGCATTCAAGACCATTGGAATTAGGATGGTACAGTAGTGGTAGATGGTACTTGCTCGTATCAAGGTCAGTCGACATAAACACCATATACATTTACGTCAGTTGACCTCGATTGCCCTTAGATACGAGCATGTGCAGCTACAGCAATGAATTGGATATTATTTATCATGTTATTTTATATACAAGATTAAGAGATGTTTAATTTATATTTTGCCAGGCCCAGGTACAACTTCTACGCACTTGCATAACATCACTGAAGGAGGAGCACTGAACTCACAGGAAATTGACAAAGGAAGCTTGCTCCAGTGTCAATAAACTTGCTGGTTATCATATCCCATAATATGTTTTCCAGTTGTAATAATATTATTTATTTATTTTTTAAATTTTATTTACAAATTTATTATACAGATAACTGTCTGTAAATAGTAACTACTGTAGTAAAAAGTTTTGGAGAATTCCATGTAGAAATCATGGAAATGTTAGAGATAATGAATATGTGATTAATAGGACATTATTCAAGTTAATGATTCAAAAATGTATAAAAACATCCAGAATTGTAACAAATCAGGAGCACTTTATCACTGGCTACAAGTGTGCTTTTGTGTAACATTTTGTTAAAAAAAACTCATCATTGCTAGAAAAATGACACTGATTATTTGGTTGCATTGTACTTAATGTTTGAAAGTAAGATAACCAAAGTAAAAAAAAAACATCTATGTAGCATATGTGGACATCAAATCAGATTAAATCTGATTGTACCAGTTTAAACCTGTTGAAACCGGTTTGAACTTGATTATACCAGATTAAATGAGATCATATTCAAACATCTGTCAACAATTTTAACTAGGAATGTTTTTGTTTTTTTAATATCTTCAAATATTTTTGTATACATGCTTTTTATTCCCTTATTTGATTAGATATTATGAAGTATTCATTATCTGTGGAACTCCTTCCAGTATCCACATAGTTTTTGTTGTCATATACTTTAAAACTAGATGGAATTTGTTTGTTATTGAAATGATTATAAATATATAATACATGTATGTTAACATTTAAAGGTACTTTATTAATTTTGAGACATATCGTCATGTTGATAATATTGTCAAGGTATGTGGAAGTGTTTGCTTTATTTGTTGCAAAATGTTTACTGTACAACATGTAGAAACATAATATGTGAGCCTGACTGTACTAAATCAGCATATTCTTGGGTACTTGTTCATAGTACATGTTCCCTATTATAATATATGTGATATTTTATTATATCTTATAAATCTGATATTAAAACATAGCATGATCACATAGTCATGGATAATTTTTTTTTCATGTTCATCACCCTGGTAGAAGGGGAGAGGAGAGATAATACTTCAATTTCAGGGGTGACAAGTCTCCCGTAACTTGCGCGAGTGTTATGGAACAGGCGCGGATCCAGCGGGGGGGGGGGGCACGAGGGCTTGTGTCCCCCCCCTGTCGCTCAAGCTGAGAATTAAAAAAGAGGGAGAAAAATTTGAGTTAAAGAGAGGAAAGGGGGAAAAAGGGGAGTTAAGTGGCGATCCAGCAGTGGGTGAAAGGAGAGCTTGATTGTTTACCACTTATTTACACCAACCATGGTGGGGCGGAGGTGGACTTCATATTGTCCCCACCCCCTCCCCCGTGGTCCACGAAAATATATGTGCGGCCTGCCAAGCAACATTGGCTAGAAAATGCCTTGTTTTTACGACACCAATCCTCTCTAATTAGACCTAACTAATTTAATGATAGTTTTAGCATGCTTCCCTTCTCTCCCCTCTACTGTACTGTAAATTTTTCACCTGAGTAGCCTCACATTTCTCCCTTACTATGACTTTCCTTAGTAGACATCCCTTCCCTCTGTATGTTGTTTCCCTCGCAGATGTTCCTTCTCATGCCAGGTGATCCTCCCCACGAGACACACGTCATCTTATAATAACTTCCGCCTCTATCATGCCTAAGAAATACTACAAAATGACAAATCAATTGAAACTAATTTGCATATATTTTATTGCAAATTATAGCATATTTTAGGCCAAGAGTAAAGTATTGCAGTGTGCATAAATATAATTTCATTGGTTCTGAAACACATAAACTAATGTTTTTTACTGTGTACCTAATCTAACAATGGCAAAAAGCAACTGTAAATTGAGAAATTGTAGAGCATTGTCAATTACTATTATGAAACAATGTTGAACTTTGCAGCACCTCAATATTACAAGCATAGAAGACGATGACAGTACATTTACAAATCTACATTATTTTTAAGTATACATTTTTTCGCATCCAAAAGCAAGTGCACAACATACAAACTGCAGGATGGAATGTGGTGATTTATGAACTAAGCAAGCATCTTTACCCCAGAGCTACAGCTCCACTCCACTTGCATTATTTTTACTATTATACTGTATATAAGTTATTTGACATTGTTATTAGACAAAATGTACATTACATACTATATATTGGCATTAAAATTATTCAATGGCAAATACAGTACACTAATGAAATGCATAAAAACAAAATACAGTATGATTTACCATAGTTTAATTGTACTTTATCCCAAATGTTTGTATAATAGAAAATACTAAAATAATTTCGCAACAATAATACAGGTACTGCATTAATAATAATAAAGTAATATTATAGGAATGTCAATGGATCCTGCATTAGTACCGAATTAATATTGCTAAATATGTAAATAAAACCAAATTATATTTTAATGCAAGAAACATTTTTATCCTATTATATCATCGCTGTAGATTATATAGTAGGCCATCTTAAATCATGTGATACACAAGTAATATATACTGTATACTGATAGATCAAGCCTACAATGTTGCAATTTATGCATTTTAAAGAGCAACGAACAGCTTATAAACGCTACAGTAATTGTATCATGGACGGATTCACAATGGACGAGCAAATATGTAAATGTAATGGAATAAGCTTCACTAATGTGGCTTACTAGTACTAAAGTACTGTATTAGTACCATGGACGGATGAACACAGTAGATATACACAGTAGTATGAGCAAATCTTTAAGTGCGTATCTAATGTGGCTTTTTAAAACTCGAGTATTTATGTGTGTTTGCAGTAGGATTACTCACAAGGATGGTTCTAAAATAGAAGAGCAATGTGTTGAGAATGTCTTGACATTTCAAATAGAATGCTCTATTGTCCATCTTCTGGAAAATGATGAATAGACCAATCTATTTTAAACACCAAGGAATTCTCAACATTTTACAATTTAATAAGCATCCACATTGGTACCACAAGTATACATTGACACCAAATTAAATATACCATGGATGAAAGGAAAACAGACTAGAAAATTTGTAAATGTGATGCATCAAAAAGCTGTACCTAACGTCTTAAGACTATATTAATTGTACTGTGGACGGATAGAAGTTGAATAAGCAAATTTATAAACTTGATGCATCAAATCTAATGTGGCGAAAGTCAACTTTACTACGGACAGATTTACAATGGACGACCACATTAATAAACATGATTTATCAAGATTTTATCTAATGTGGTTTTGAAGACACACTATAAATTAATTGTGGACGGTTGGCAAATGGACAAGCATATATATTTGTTAACATGACACATCAAACTTAAGTATTGTTTGCATGGAATGTTTAAATAAAAATGTATTTTATATATATAATATTGCAAAATTTACATTTAACCTACACAAAAATTTGGTATTTCATAAAAAAATTTATTATATTCTGAAACATTGGTTCAACAAAAATTTTCCTATTACAGTATTATACTTTTATAATAATTAAAATAAGATTAGTTCATATACAGGATTTACAGTAAGTAGCTACTATGAGCCAAATAGAGGTTTTTAATAAACTCGCATAAAGATAATATCGATGATATTACCATAATGTTAAAACATCAAGATGATATTTTTTAAGGCCACTCAAAGAAGGATCTTAAATGAAATTTTTTTGAAGACCCATGTTTTCAAGATTAAACAATTTATAATTTCCCTAACACCTTGTCCCAAACTTGACTTCTAGCACTTTAACAAAGCCTGTACAGGAATGTATGTTTTCATAACCTTCAGAAAGGACTACAAAGTTCATTTAAAAAAACCAAATACTGTACAACTATCACCATGTCTTTAAAGCTCACCGATTGACGAATTTATTCATTAGTATAGTATACTGCCCTCAATTTCATTTATATATGAAACCAGTTAAATTAGTGCAAGTTTCAGAAAGATCCAAGCATACTCTAGTTTCTCCAAACGTTTTAATTGCCATTTTATGTTGTAATTAATGGAGATGATTTCCATTGATGGCTGATAAGGGGTCACTCTTTTATGTCCTCTGATACCCCAGCTGCTGCATCCCCAACTTCATCTATGACGTCTTCTTCATCCTCAATCGCCAAATCTTGCTGGAGTTGCTGCACTAGATTCTGCATTCGACTCTGTAAGGATTAACAAATATTTATAGAAGTTAGCAGTATAAAGTAGGAACGCTATTCAGAAATAGGGATTGGCCCGTGTGCAAGCTCTCCCTGGTCGTTAGATTAGAATATAACAGTGGCTGGTTAACTTTGTTCAATCATGTATTACTAGACTACCCCTGCACCATACTTTTTACCTCTTCTTTCCCTTCACCTTCCTTCCCTCCCTCCCATCATGAATATCTAGATCGATTTTGGGGAGAGGAGGAAAAAAAACAGGTTACAGTTTTAAAAATGACATTTAAAACAGCACTTCATCTAATCTATCTCAACCCATCTATTCTGTCTTAACCCACCTCATCTAATCTGTCCTTATTATTCTTGATATGCGATTCAAATATTTGTTTCAGCATCCTGTTAGTGTACACACCACGATTCAGCACATCAGTAGTTACATCTGTCACAAATTCCAAGTACAACAATTCCTCCTCCCTGCAATAAATAAAACACTCCATATATGTTTGATATGCATGGTGTATCTTTTCAATAATTCTTTTAACAAATTAGCGAATTAGCGCTTTTTGGCAATAATCATTTGGAATGTACTGTACAGTATTGTGTACGCTAAGTGGCATATTATGATGACTATATCTGATGCAGCAAATATCAAACATATATTACAGGCATCCACATAATATAAAACAAGAAAATGTGCTAACAAATCTCAATAAATTAATTATTTGACTTTGACTAATTGATTGATTGACACTTACTCTTGTTGAATCTTCAAAGATGACTGGATGGCTTTTTCCGAATTCAACCTTTGATGTTTTATTGTTGAACTACATGAACAGAAATAATATGATTCAATGTGTGCATACAAGTATATGGTTTTAAAAGAATATTATTTGAATCCTTCTACTCTTTAACCCTTTCCAGTCTGCCCCATTACCATTGCCTGAGGCTGTACCAAAGCTGAGAAATTACTTTATCTACACTAAATGTCGGGTTTTACTGGGCGCAGGCATTTTATTTGGTCTGAATACAGGGGGCTCTCTACAGAAATACTCCTACATCACTCTCAAACAATCCTATAGAGGACAGCCTAGCCATAAAAAAATTATCATGAAATCTATACAGGGCGTACGTACGACTCCCTCGCTATACATATGGTCAAAAAGGACGTCGTCGCGACGCCATACGACTGGAAAGGGTTAAAAGAATGGTATTTTTGAATCTCCTGCTCAACATTTCCCTCCATCCCAATTTGCATCCTCCCCATCTTGATTCCATATCATCTTTCTTACACCTTACTTCTTTACTCCTACTCCTTTAAATTCAATGCATGCATAGGAGTATAGTTTTAGAAGAATATTATTGGAATCCCCTCCCTACTCAACACTTTCCTCCAGTCTCACTTCCTGGCCTCCCCAACATTCTCGCCATCTCGATTCGATCTCATCTAGCTTACTCCTCCTTAACAGCAAGATAATATAATTCCAATGCTCTCCCCTGATATAATTATAGTACAGATAATAAAATAATAGTATTTAGTCCTATGCAATATTGACCTATCATTGATTTTAACATGAACTTTCATGTTTACTGAACTAAGTTTGTGAAATGAAAGCGTAGACTTAACAACCAGCAACACTTGCAATAATGGGCACTTACTTGTATAGAGGTTTTACTTCATTATCATATCCAATATTGTTCTCCACATCGTCTGACATCCATCCAGATGTTTCCCTATAACCTTCAACGGTTGCCATTGTTGCTTCTGTCTCATTGTCGAACGTTTCATTTAGTCCGTTCTTGTACTTAACAGAGTTGTCGAAGTCGTCATGACCCTTTATGCCATTGACCTCTGAAGTTTTTCTAAAAAAAAAAAAAAAAAAAAAAAAAACCACCAAAATTTTTATTCAATTATTATTATTATTATTATTATTATTATTATTTCAACTAGAAAATAAAGAGTAAAAATGTTAGGGGAATATTATCAATATTTTTAAATATTTGTAACCTCACGTACATCATATCAAAATTCTACCCATGTACAGTATCTCTACCCCTGGTAATAAGCTTCAAAGTAGCACACGTCTTTTCTCCACAAATCTACCAAAATAGCTGGAGGTTGAAGGTATACACTTGTGTTTTAAATTAAGCAATTGTTTCCCAGTATGTACTGCCCAATTAGCAAGACCCCACTGGTTAGTAAGTCTTCTTTTGTGGGTTATCCTTGGTGTTTACACCAAATAAATCCAATCTTTCACTCATTCAATGAAATTATTGTTCTACCATAAGATTGTGATAAACTATAAATTACATCATATAAAAGTTAATAAAAATAAAGAAAATCAAATAAATCAGAAAAAGCTGAAATATTACATAAAATATGCTATAAATATCATGAAAATATCAAAATTGACATATTATTATAAAGCTAAAAATTACATTGAATATATACAAAAAAAATTAAAATTCATATTAAGAAAACTCGCCGGAATGTATATAAAATGTCAACATGAAACAACAATGACATACCTTGATCGTTTCTGAGATGATGCGTTCTTTCTCGGTGAGTTATAAACGTTTGATTTTGACAGCCAGGACTGTGCACTTGACTTCTTTGTCCGAGGTGTATAAGGTCTGGCTGGAGCAACAAAACTTGTAGACATTGTATCAAGTACATCACCTGAGTAATGTCTTGGTGTTGATGATCTTTGGGTAAGCCCCACCCTTTCAGATGGTGTCATGGTCCTCTCTGCTCTATTGTTTGTTAATGGACGGCTATTGGATGATAACCCATGACCTGTCTCAGTCTCATCAAAATCTAATTCTTTGAATTCAAAATCCTGTAAAATACGAAAAATACATACATACAATCAATTAATCTGATCATGAATCAATCAATCAATCAATCAATCCCTTAATTAATTAAATAACAAGGCTTGATATAATACAAATAAAACAATGTACAGTACATCATCTTGATCCAGGTTAGAGTTCCTGCTGATGTTACTAGCTCTTGAAGAAGGTCGAGAATTTCCTGTTTGTTTTATCTTATGTCGTTTCAATTGATCATTCTCTGAAACAAAAAAACAATTCACAATTTTATTACTTTGCAAGTTTTTTTTGACAATTCTTTTATATTATGATTTTGTTGGCAATACATTAGTGATATATGTATACACTATGTATTGTAAAGAGTCAATCAATCAATTAGTCAATCAATCAATTCGTAATAAATCAATTATTTCATTGGGTGCATACAACAGTTTGTATGTACTAAAACAATAAGCCAATAGCCAATTAACATCTTGACGAGATTTGATTGACAGATAAACTGACTAATCAGCGAGCATCATTTAGTCATGTGATCAAAAAACTTTTTCTGGGACATTTTAATTTCCTTAGACAGCTGGTTGTCAACGCGAAACATACGTGAGCCTAGGCCTAGATGTCTATGCTTGGTTCTCTCTCTGGGCCAATACGGCTTATTCAAGCCATGAGCCTTACAACGGTGCACCACCAGTTTGCCCTATTATAATCATCATGCATGAGTGTTTTTAAAGTTTTATCTATGGGTTTCAGATCAGTATTTATTTGTTTCAGCCATGTGTGTTTTAGTCGACCTTTGCTTGTAAATACCCAGATTTACACGAGCAGTGTGCATCAGTGACTTGGCCTTGGCCGACAACGAGGTTGACTGAATGCGGCTTTTCCCTCTTCCTTTGGGAGAAAAATACAGAGACTTTTACAACAATTTCCCCGCCTGTTCCATGAAATAGATTAACACTATGAATATATGATTCATTTGCATACTGCCTACCCTGAATTCTCTTTCGTAAAGAAGGTTGATAACAAAGAAAATGTTCACCAACTCGGTAAAGTCTAGCCGCCATTGTCTAAGGTTTTCGTGACTCTGTGGGTGGGGCTTCGCGTCCTTGTCGACAGTCAATTCTTAGTTATAATTGTGCATGCCCGTATCAATATCAATTGACATAAACAAACATAAACACAATATAGGTCTATGTGGATTGACCCAGATTTACATTAGATACGATCATGCACAGTTCCACAAATTGGATTATTATGCAGGCAGTGGTGATAATCTGATTGGCTATAAAGGGCAGCAAATCACTTTACTTATAATTGGCTTAGAGCATGTGATTCAGCTGCCTTGTCACAACCAACCAGCAGAAATTATCAAAGTCAATATCATATTTTCATATTTTGGTTGAACTATTATCTACCTACCATTCATTTATGAACTATTCAACAACAATTTAAATGGCAGCACAAACACTAAATTGAGTAATAACTATTCAATTCAAAATAAAACCCATATACAGTAGAACCTCGATTTTACGTACGGTACGGGACCAGAGGGCGTACGTAAATCGGGGGATTCGTAAAATAGATTAGGTTGGGTTAAATTTGTGGTAACATTTGACCTAATACGTACGTAACGCTCAATAAACGTATGTACGAACAAACGATGTTACCTAGGCTAGACCTAGCCTCTAGGTGTTTTTATTCATCACTTTAAGATGTCATAATAAAGTGTTCAAATAAAACCATGTGTCTAGTGTATTAATCCATCACTTTATATCTTTTATTTAACTAAAATAAAGAACATGAAAATATTGTAAGATTACCTATACGACAAAGGTATAACTTATTCTAAACAACAGAGCTGAGGTGTTGTCTGGGCCTGTTGAGACAATCTAAAACCATGTGCGCTGCATTGGGCGAGCCAACAAATTAGCGTTCGTGTACATGAAACAGCAACCATGTGCTATGCACTGCGCGAGCTAACCAATTAGCATTTGTGTACGAAACTATGTCTACTTAGCTTCGTGTAGAAAATTCAACCAGACGAGTTCTTCCATGGTTTGCCACACAAAGCTAAGGAGGAAAGCAATTATTTTGAGCACCATCGGTAGTTGTTCATCTCACTCAGTTCACGTGGTTTAGATTATAACAACCTAGTATTAGACTCAATCAATGTTGCTGTTTAATGAAAATACGTTGCATTATGGTTTGTTTATTGTTATAGTTTATTGTTATAGTCTTTTTACTTATGGTTGCTCTCAAAAGGGCCGTTTGTTTTGAATATTTTCGTGGTTTTTAATGACGTCATCGTCCATACGAGGCGTACGTAAAACCGAGGGTTCCTATAACTGGGGTACGTAAAAACGGGGTTCTACTGTATATCATTATTTATAATTAAAATATAAAAGCACATAAAAGCACTTTTTTTTTGTAGTACAGTACAGTATATTAAAATTTACAGACTTACTTTTAGTACTGTTAGTCCAGGCTTTAGGCTTTTGGTTGTCAATGCAAGCTAGGACACAAAATTAAATATCTTTATATCAGGAAGGTAACTCTCTTTGTCAAATAAAAAAAGTTAGTCTGGATGGGGATTAAGGAAAACTATTCTCTATTCTTAGATAATAAGCTTTGTCTGCACTATCAAATTTTCTTGGACAAAATACTGTTGTCCCATATAGTCATAATGTGCCTATATATGGTCATAATGTGCCTATATATGGTCATGATGTGCCTATATTTAGTCATGATGTGCCTATATATATATAGTCATGATGTGCCTATATATGGTCATAATGTGCCTATATATGGTCATGATGTGCCTATATATGGTCATAATATGCCTATATATAATCATGATGTGCCTATATATAGTCATGATGTGCCTATATATAGTCATGATGTGCCTATATATGG